AGGATCCCTCTGGAACGGAATGGGGTCTCGACCAATCTGCCCACGTGCCGCCACACGCGCCGGCAGCGCGTGGGTGTCCTAAGCGATAACGCCTCGCCGAAAAAACTCAACATCTAGGCTCAAGAATCCTATACTAGGTATAACACCCTATTTGGAGCCACTTTGTTCTGGGACCTACCCCAAAAAGAGGTCGGAAGTGGCCGAAACAGTGCCCCGAAATTCTGTCAAAACCTAGGTTTCGAAATCGCTCTCCTACACGTGAAATCAACCAATTCCTATCCAACCACCAGCTAGAGCAGGAAAAATAGCTAGAAATCCATACCTCATATGCTCGGATTGGTGGCCGTAGGAGGGAGAAACCGCTCTCCAAAATTCTGTCAAAATCGGTCGGAAACCATGATTTTTTCGACGGTTCGAGGCGGCAGGCAGTGGGAAGATGACCGGGCTAGGTCGGCGGAGTGACGCCGGTGGTTCTGGGTCCGGTCTGGTGGGTCGGAGTGGCCTGTGGCGGTGGCTGGGAGGAGAGGACGGATCGGACTGAAACAGGGGGGGAGATCGCGACGGGAGAGAGAGAAGCTGAGGGTTTTTAAAAAAAAATCATGATTTCTCAAAATTACCATTTTGCCCCTGGACGTATTTTGACCGTATTCTCTTCGTCATTACTCCGATTCAAGCCCAATACATGTCTACGGACTCGTCTCACTGCGCCCTACGCAACGGTATAACTGAAATTCCTAAATTCCTTCTCAGTCAAAAAGTCAACTTTTCCTCAATAAAATATTCTAAGGGCATTTTAGTCTTTTCCTCCAATAAATTAATAATTAAATGTTAATTTTAGGTTTGGGTTGTTACATTATGTCAGTTTAATCATTTTGTGTTTAAACGTTAATTTGTAAATACTTTGTGTAGAATGTAATAACCTTATTTCTTATATAGGTAAGAAATATGGTGAGATGCGTTCAAATTTGGTCGAGTGTTTTAACTCTTGAATTTTGGTTAAGCATGAGTTATATATTTATCAATTACTTGATTGATTGCAGATCAAAATGATAGTCAAATATGCAGCTAGGTCATTATGCAGCCGAAAAATGGACTACATATCTATGCCCAAAGGTGGAAAAGCAGTTGCAGAAGTCTATAGAAACTGGAAGACATTGGGATGTTAACCGTTCAAGTGATAATTTGTTTGAGGTTCAGGCTGAGTATTCTTTTGTTATTGATCTTCACCAACACAGATGTTCATGTCATCAATGACAGATTAAAGGTTTCCCATGTGCCTATGCTATTGTAGCCATCCTTGTTGATGATGGTGATCTGTACAAGTAAATTGAACCTTACTTTACTGCAGATTACTACAGAAGTTGTTATGGCATCCCAATTGCACTTGTTCCTGATATTGGGAAAGAGGCACCGAAGGAACTTGAAGAATTTAAAGCGAAAATCACTTGGTAGACCTCGAACCAAGAGGATTAAATCTATAGGGGAGGAAAAAAAATGCTACAAATGCAATAAGTGTGGTTAAGGTGTGATCAGCACAACCGGAGGACTTGCAATTCTGAAATATAAGTATGTTTTCAACTCACTAATCCCTATTTTATGTTTCAGCGACATTTGTTTGCTTTCTTAATTGGATGTTGTTGGAACAAGTTTCATTTTAAAATTTGAAATTACATTGGATCTTATTTGGTATGTAGGTGTTTACAGGTATAGGTGCTATAGGTACCTTATCTCTTTATTGCTCAACACTCATATGAAACATTATTGAATGTATGTTGCATGTTGAAGTGAATAAGGGCTTTCATGATGGAAAACTGCCTTTTGAGAGTGAAACTGTTCCATTTTAAATGTCTGTTGTGTGGTCAACAATTCTTGTCGTTGATATCTCATTCAGCTTGTAATTTGGGTTGTACTAAATTTTGTTGTCTCTCTCTCATTTCTATTCATTAGATAAAGTAGATAAAGCAGCTTCAATACTTATACCAAAGTAATTCTTAAGTTGTGTCATTGTTTGACAGTGTACCTATGACATCCTATAAATGTTTGGCATATACCTGTGATATAGTTACAGTGTTGGCAATTACCTATATGACAGGAGGTTACCTATATGATGGGTGATAAACCCAAATTTTTTCATTTATGGAGGACCTAGTAGTACATGTACTGCAGGACCAGAAAATAAAAAATGAGAGTATAACACCTATATTATAGGTATACCTTAGTTTTCAGGTCGTGCAATACCTATAGCAATTATATGTTTAACCTAAAGAGTATGAACAAAATGTTAT